GGGCTGATTCTCCTGAGAGTTGGACACAAGTGCCTCAAGCTGTGTTGTGAACAGCTAATGTTGCATTTCTCTCCAAATTGATGTACCATAGAGGACATCTGTGCGAGCATCCCTCACTTGAAATCCATAGAGTTCTAGTAAGATTTCCCTGGCACGTAATTTTGAGCAAGTACGGGATCTGATCTTATATACAGCTACTTCAGAAGTCTCACCCCATCCTGGACCTCCCCACCAAATACATTAAACCCCAAATCCTCGGAGCAGTTCTGGAATTCTGTCAGTGTTTTTGACCTATTCCTTTCCCTATCATTCCACCCATCTACCACAGTAGCTGTGTTTACATGTGTGTATAATCTTTACAAAACCTGGGTCCCAACCTGTTGATGGCAAATAACTGGGAAGATATGAAATTATTGAAACGGTTTCTCAATAGTTATATTACCACTATCATAATCCTCTTTTTTACTTTGAAGCCATGAACTCCTGGGGTCCTGAGATAACATAGACTGCCCCCAAATTAAACTGCACACATAATTCTAGCAGACGTTGACTTCAGGTGTCCTGCCGTTCCCCACTTCCTCCCCCAAAACACCCATTAACAGGTAGTAGGAGGAATCAACCTACCAATGAACCCTTCCCTCCAGTTCAAAGAGAGTGGCTTTTGAAGATCTCGGTCAGAATCTTGAGAGGGTTAAAAAGTTCCTTCATGTCAAGGTGTGCCTGTCATCTCAATATGTGTTTTGTGACCCCAGGTTTGGCTCTAGTTCAGATGAAAGCCAGAATACTTTAATTATTCCTGCCTATGTAAAAAGTGAAAGGGAAGATTTTCTAAAGCAATATATTATAGGAAAACTAATAGAACCTGGCCTGGAAAATAAAAATGAGTGAAATACTATCTTTGAATGAAAATTTGGGATTTTAAGATGAATTTCCCAATATAGTTAACCCATTTCCATTTAATATTCCCATTTCAAATCCTCAACAATGCGTATGTATTTGTTGAATGATATTAAATATCGAGCCACAATCATCTGGGATTCCCCAAATTTTTTTCTATTAAAAAGGGCTGCTCATACTGGAAAATATTGTGAAACCTTCCTAGACTAATTGGCTCACACCCTCCGGCCCACTCATTTTTAAAAAGGTAAAATAGCAAAGGTTCTAACATGATCATTTTGAATTCTAGAAACAAGGCTACAGGAAGAAATGTTTATATTGAACCTACAGAGTAGCCTTAAGTGATTTGATGAGGTTGTGATTCAAAATAACCTGACCTCTTTCAGGAGTCCAGGTGCTGAGTCATTTACGAAACTGCCGGAGGAGGTTCATTGGAAGCAGCTGACAGTGGCGTCGTTTGCTTTTTTTTTTTTTTTTTTTAAATAAATGGAGAAGGTTATTCTATGAAAAGGACAGAGTACTACAGAAGATGTACAAAGCAAATGACTGACGCCCACCTCATTAATACCCCCACCAATGGGGAAAAAATCTGACAGTGAATTCAAGATAAAATACCCTGGCTCCATAAAAATAGTAATCGTTAGTTCCAAGAAGAGTGATTATGGGTGACATTTTTCCTTCCTATGCTTTTTTCTTTATGTTTTCCATAAACAAATATTTCACTCTTATAATAGATTCTTTTTTTTTTTTTTTTTTTTTTTTTCCAGCCACACTGCTAGGCTTGCAGGATCTTAGTTCCCCGACCCTAGGGAATCCAACCTGGGCCCCAGCAGTGAAAGCACTGAGTCCTAACCACTGGATCACTGGATTGCCAGGGAATTCCCTATAATAAATTCTTAACTTAAAAATAAGCAGATACTTCTATCTATCATGTGCATGGCTCTGTAATAGGTATAAGGGAATATAAAGAAATGGAAACTGGCCTCTGATCTCAAAGAAATTACAAATAGGTTGGCAGTACCACATGGTCACAATGTGCTAGGTATCAAATGAGGGATGAAAGCAAGGAGCTTTATATGGATTAAAAGAAGTGGCAGTTTAGAAGACACTTGGATTTGGGAGGGGCACCAGTTCCCTCTAAAGCGGGGCACCATGTTTTAGGGGTTATTAAAACAAGAGGTTAGATTGAGAGTCTGGATGAGGAATGATTATGAGGTAGGAGATAGATGGGCCTCTGGGCCAGACAGCTGGTGGTTGTCAAGTGGAGTAAAATTGAAGCTTTGTTCTCACCCAGAAACTCCAAGGACAAAGCTAGTGGCAGAAGCTGAGCTCTGCTAAAGTAAAGAGATAAGGTGCCCACTCCTGAGGTCAAGGAAAACTTCCCTGTCTACACATGTGCAGGAAGGCTCCTTGGGGGTCAAAAAGGGAGGAGGTGCCACCCCATAATATTTGTGGACATGCACCCACAGGCCTCTGCAGTGGGATCCATCTTAGCAAAAAGTTGTGCAGACATCTTGGGGAGGGTCCTAAGACCAGTTGCGTGTGAAAAAAGAAACACCATAACTGGCCAAAGATAAACAAAGACCTGGAAGGACTGTCCTATATAAGTGATTTAAATCACCTCTTTACTGCACTCCTCCTCATTAGGGGGGGACACCCACACTCTTTCTGGGTGCGTATTTCTCCCTTGCTTCTGAGTTAAATAAATAAATAGTTTCTCTGTGTGTTGTGTCTCTAATAATAAACTTTGTACCTGTTTTGCAGTTTTTGCCTCCTTGAAACATTTTTGCTTTCCAAAGGGGTAAGAATCAGGGAACTTTGCTTCTAGCCTCTAGCCCCTGGTGGACTGGCAGCTAGGTTCAATCCCTGGACAGGGAAATAAGATCCTTCTTTAAGACTACTGTCCCTCCTAGAACAATTAGCCTCTCCCTCCCAAATACCTTCCCCCTGGTTTGCATAGCCAGGCAGCTACTCCTTCCCCTCTGATCCCTTCTTGAGAAACTGAATGAGACTCTACACCTAGGAGTGAGGTGCCTTGCTGAAACTGTTACCTGTAAGGTCACATACTGAAGGGTGAGTGTTCTGTGTTTTCTTGGATTCTGTAATTGTCTTTTTAGCATCTATTCATCACAGGAACAGTTATATTAACTATATTTTCTTAATTTCTGTATCCCTGAAGCTCTGGCATTTGTGGACTTACAGACCCTGGGAAAGACTGCCTCTCCCAGGGCTAGCTAATTCCCAAAGATAGTCAAACAATTTACTTGGAAGCATGTTTTTCATATGCAAACCAACCAATCCAGCCCATTACCCCCAACCACCTCCTTATCTAAACTCTTCTACATCAAGCCAATATTTCCACTGCCCTAAATCAACCCAGGGCCAGGTACAGACAACAGGGACAACTCCTACGCCCCAAAGCCCACTGGAATCATTCATACCAGCCAATTTTCACCTGTTTCTCCTGCCCCGACTTGCCTTTCCCAAAGAAATTCCAGTAAAGGATCTGGCCTAGGCTTTCCCCTGGTTCCTGCTTCTGTCTGCCTCCTAACCAAAATCTCGTGTTTCCCCTATGGCCTTGTGTGGCATGGTAGGTCCCCTTCTCTTGGAAAATGTGAGTAACACATTCTTTCAATGGCAATTACCTCTCTGTCAGCACTCAGCCATCTCCATAAATTAAAGTCCCTGGGTACAATGCAGCAGAAGGACATTTCCCCACCCCCCCTTAAAGAAAGCAGGCTTCCTTAGTCATTAGGTTATATGCTGTTTTATTGGGGACCCCCTAACTGTAAATATCTTCAGATCTCTTCTCTTGAGGTAGTCCACTTTTTAGGGAGGAATCCTGTCTGCTGTCTAGAGGACATAAGCCTACAACCCAACTTTGAGAGTGAAGTTAGGAAAGGCACAATTAAAAGAAGGAGCCTAAAACAATGGATTTTTAACTAGGCTAGATTATAACTAGCCTAGAATGAATAACTAGGCTAGAATTCCTTCACTTAACCAAGTCCCAATCGATGATTTGTATCACTCCTGAGGGATGGGTGTAGCAGGGATAGGGGACATTTAAATTTATTTTCCCACTATTATGAACCAACACTATACCCCTCTAACTGTTCATCCTGAAGCAGAGCAGGAAAAAACCCATAAGAAGCCAATGATCATCATTCCCCACCCCCCCACCCCCAAGAACTGATTCATGATAGAAGTAGTGATTTTCTAGTTATCTGCTATGAAAAGAAAGATAACTATTAAAAAATTCTTAAAACTTTTAAAACTTAATGGATATATGCAGGTGGCATTTAAAGTCTCTGCCCTTTGAAATCAGTATTCATTACAATTTACTTGTTTTGTCTCCAAAATTCACTATTGTAAGTGAAATCCAATGAGAGAGAGCCTGGAGGAAGGGAGTATATATTTCAGAGGATTTCTGGCAGTTGACCAAGACTTCTAGCTATAGATTGTTTTTAACAGCCCTGGAAATTCAGTTAAGTTGTGAGTGGCGCTGCTGTCAGGAGCTATGGATGACTGATGAACAGTAATGATCAAGGATCCTAGGAGGCAGACACTCCCACTTTTCTATTAACTAGAAATTACATCTTATAGCATTGCATTTGTCTTTTTTTTTTAAGAACCTAAACCACTTGGAAAAAACATTTTTGTCAATTGTCCGACTGAGGATGTTTCTGTAGCTCTTTAGATAGATACATATGCTCAATCTGATTCAGTCTGTATTCACCACAGGGACTAGCAGAGTATCTGGCACTTAAAAATATATGTATTATATATTTCTTTTGATTAACGAATGAATTAGTTGCGTATATAGTAGAAGAGACTAAGCAGGTATAACTTCAAACAGACGCGATGCTTTACTTTTTTGGGGTGGTGGCAGGGGGAGAGGCTTTTTAAGATTTTGCTAGAATTGCACCCTTGCTGCACCCGACGGCCCTCGTTCGACGTCACAATCCGGAGCTAGAACTATCAATCCCAGACTGCCGTGCGAAGGGGCGGGCTCCCCGGGAGCCGCCGAGTGATTGGCTGGGGGAGGCGTTTCCTTCCGGCGGGAAGGGCCCGGGAGGCGGGGACTAGGGGAGGCTTTCGGACGCTATTACCGGGTTGGGCGGGCCGGGCCGGGTCGGGGAGGGGTTTGTGGGCGAGCCCTGGGTCCCCCGCCCGCTGAGGAGATGGATGAGGATGGGCTTCCTCTCATGGGGTCAGGCATAGACCTGACTAAGGTTTGTAAAAGAAGGAGTTGGACTTCGGCGACCTGGGAGGAGGATGGGGAAGGGACGCCGGGTTTCCAGAGAGACACACCTGCCCCCCCCGCCCCCGCCGTGTCTCTTTTTGCTCAACCCTGGCCTGGGCCTGTCTTCCACCTCTCTCGGGAGGGAGAATCCCACAGTCCACATTAAAAAGGGGTCCCTCCCGAGCTGTCTAAGGGGGGCGGGGGTAATTTGCCTCTCCCAGCCTACGCTTCCCGGGTCACAAGTCCCTATCGTCAAGGGTGAAGCGCTGGCGACACGGGCCGGTTCCGATCTCTAACCCTACCTCTTTTATTCGGCCCTTGAGTTTTTCGTGTGTTTCTGTGTGTTGCCTTTACCTGCGAAAGTTCACACCTGTGAATCCAGAGCCCATTCTCAGACTTTGCAGCCTCTGTCACCTTCGGACACCCCACCCCTACAGTTTAGGAAAACAAATTAATGACTCTTGGCAGTACTTTCAGTAACTCATCTCACACAGCAAAACGCCCCGTTATTATTAATATCCAGGGGATAGCACGGTGTACGTTCCTCCTGTATGGATCATGTTTATTTTTACGTGACACAGGTGCCAGCTATTCAACAGAAAAGAACGGTGGCATTTCTAAACCAGTTTGTGGTGCACACTGTACAGTTCCTCAACCGATTTTCTACAGTTTGTGAGGAGGTAGGTCCTGTGATACTCGTTTAATGAGTAGCCCAGATGTCACCTTGCACTTCTGAAGGTAACAAATGAGTAAAACAAGAATTACAGTCTATGTATTCATGTACCATAACCTCTTGTCAACCAGTTATTATGTTAACATTGCCTTAAATCCTCTTTGATTCTCTTACCATCATTTCTACAGCCCATCTCTGCTGAATTAATTTTCTAGAAGCTTTGTAAACTAGTTCAGGAAGGTTTATTGTGGTTAAAGAAAGCAAAAGGAATTCCAAGATTTCACAGTTAAAGACATTTTTTATTTTGAAATTGGTTATGTTTCTCTTACCCCAAAGATTACATTTTAAGTATACATTGTTTCAGTTTATATCAAAATTATTTTACATTGCTTGATCCAAGAGATGATGGGGAGGTAGCCTAGAAACATAACTGGGGCATTAAATATCATTATGGAAATTAAAAAAAAAAAAACTTTCTGCAAATGACTTGTGAAGTAAGGATTAAGTAACCCCGTTACAGGTGAGGTACAAGATCCAGGGACTCCTGTCTTATAAAAAGCTAAAAAAGAGAGTGGGGAGGAAAATAGGAAGCATGGGTTGAAATTGGGTTTAAGAAAGGAGAAGGGGGACAAGGAAATAGAACAACAGTCATCTGAAACCAAAAGGTGTTGTTCTTTATCAGTCTTCTTTACCACTTGAGGATCATGTTAAACCTTAGGGCTCCATTTTGGTGTCGTGAACTTCCTGAGTGCTGAAGTTACTGTTTGCCATATGACTGAGTATCCTCCACAATCAAGTCCTTGAATAGAGACTGTTCAGAGAGGGGTGGTTGCTGCCTAAAAAGTGTGGGAGTCAAGATTGTTGTCATTGGGAACATTATTGTGTACTAGGAACAGGATACATATACATACTTGAATACTAAAGAAGACCATTGACTGTGCTCTGTCCATAGACTAGAGAAAAGCCCCACACTGGTATGATAGTGACCACTTAAAGCTAAATACCCTTTCAAGGATGCTTTATACAGAAATTAAAATGATTTCACTCAGAAGTCAAGGCCTGCTACAGGAAATACCCAGAGAATACCCAGAGACTTCCCAGTCCTAGCCAGTCTCCTAGTATTTTGTACAATGTATGATGTATCTCCATTCCAGATGCATTTTGATTGGCACAATATAGGAATGTTCCCAAGAAGTTAACTAGTGAATACCAATTTTTGTCAGTTTAATTATTGTTAACTTATGCTTGTTAAGCTACTATAAAAGTCCTGTGATTAATTTTTTTTATATGTATACCTTTTATTTCCTTTTTTTGTCTTTTTTTTTTTAACATCTTTATTGGAGTATAATAGCTTTACAATGGTGAGTTAGTTTCTGCTTTATAACAAAGTGAATTATACATATACATATGTTTCCATATCTCTTTCCTCTTGCGTCTCCCTCCCTGCCACCCTCCCTACCCCACCCCTCTAGGTGGTCACAAAGCACGGAGCTGATCTCCCTGTGCTATGCAGCTGCTTCCCACTAGCTATCTATTTTACGTTTGGTAGTGTATATATGTCCATGCCACTCTCTCACTTTGTCCCAGCTTACCCTTCCCCCTCCCCATGTCCTCAAGTCCATTCTCTAGTAGGTCTGCGTCTTTATTCCCATCTTACCCCTAGGTTCTTCATGACCTTTTTTTTTTTTTCTTAGATTCCATATATATGTGGTAGCATGCAGTATTTGTTTTTCTCTTTCTGACTTACTTCACTCTGTATGACAGACTCTAGGTCCATCCACCTCACTACAAATAACTCAATTTCATTTCTTTTTATGGCTGAGTAATATTCCATTGTATAGATGTGCCACATCTTCTTTATCCATTCATCTGTTGATGGACACTTAGGTTGCTTCCATATCTTAGCTATTGTAAATAGAGCTGCAATGAACATTTTGGTACATGACTCTTTTTTTTTTTTTTTGCGGTACACGGGCCTCTCACTGTTGTGGCCTCTCCCGTTGCGGAAAACAGGCTCTGGATGTGCAGGCTCAGCGGCCATGGCTCACGGGCCCAGCCACTCCGCGGCATGTGGGATCTTCCCAGACCGGGGCATGAACCCGTGTCCCCTGCATCGGCAGGCGGACTCTCAACCACTGTGCCACCAGGGAAGCCCTGTATGTGACTCTTTTTGAATTATGGTTTTCTCAGGGTATATGCCCAATAGTGGGATTGCTGGGTCGTATGGTAGTTCTATCTTTAGTTTTTTAAGGAACCTCCATACTGTTCTCCATAGTGGCTGTATCAATTTACATTCCCACCAACAGTGCAAGAGTGTTCCCTTTTCTCCACACCCTCTCCAGCATTTATTGTTTCTAGAATTTTTGATGATGGCCTGTGATTAATTTTTTAAAACGAAGCAAATAGGACTTCCCTGGTGGCACAGTGGTTAAGAATCCTCCTGCCAATGCAGGGGACATGGGTTCCATCCCTGGTCCGGGAAAATCCCACATGCTGCAGAGCAGCTAAGCCCATGCTCCACAACTACTGAGCCTGCACTCTAGAGCCCGCGAGCCACAACTACTGAAACCCACGCGCCTAGAGCCCGTGCTCCACAACAAGAGAAGCCACCTCAACAAGAAGCCCGTGCACCGCAACGAAGAGTAGACCCTGCTCGCCGCAACTAGAGAAAGCCGGCGTTCAGCAACGCAGACCCAATGCAGCCAAAAGTGAATAAATAAAATAAATTTATAATAAAATAAAATAAAGCAAATAACACACCCCCCAAAAAAATAGGGAGAATGGGGGGAAATGAGATAATTCACAGTTGAGTCAAACAATATTCAGTTCATTCTGTCTTATAAATAATATGAGGTAAAGCCTTAGCGTATAGTTTTTGTTAGATATATTAATAAAAACTGCATGGAGACAGGAAAACTATTTTAACTTGTATAAGGTTCCAGCTGTTGTTTTTGTTTAGTTATCAAAATAACTTCTGCCTTCTCATTAAGACAAAAGAAATTGAAATGTGATATGATGATTGATAGAGTAAGGGGCTCAAGTCAATATTTTTTATCTAACAGGCTCAGAGTCTAGGTGCTTGCTTCCCTGAGTTTTATCTTGGACTGCTGCCTCTATAAATGGCATAAAAAATTGACTGACTGAAAAGCAGTAAGCCAAGGATTTAGCCCTTCACTTTGTATACCACGGTAGGGTGGAGAAGTATCTGGAGAGAGACTGTTCCAGGATTGTTAGCAGAGAAGGGCGAATACTCCATCCCCATACTTCTCATCTCCAGTTTAAAAAGTAAGCACCAACAAAACAACCAACAAACACATCTGTGAAAGCAGCTTCATACAGCTGCCCTGAGGTAGGGATAGCCCCGCACCTTTGTAGGGCCTAACAGTTTTCAGTGCCTGGGGAGTGAGTGTTATTTGCTGAAGACTAGATCAAATATAATAATTGTCTTTTGTTTATTGATTGCTTATGCATTATCAAAGCCTCATGATTCACTCTTTCCCTCTTTCTATTCTTCTCTCCACTACCCCCCAAAACGGTTGGCTGTCTTGACTATATCACTATTTCCTATTTCTTCCTTGAACTCTAGAAAAAATTTTGTTGACTAAAAATTCATGAAATTTAAAGGTAGCTTATGCCTTTTTCTCCTTAATGGTTGATAATCTAGGGTTGACTGTAACTCATTTAGAATTCATATTGTAACAGTTTGGATGTTTATGTCAGTTGTAGACTTTTTATCAATACTTGGTGTGATGACAATAACTAATATTTATTGTGTGCTTATTCTGTGTGAGGCATTGTACTAAGTGCTTTACATGTATTTAATCATCACAGAACAGCTCTTTGAGAGAGGTCCAATTATCTCTTTTTTAGAAATACAGAAACTGAGATGTAGAGAGGCTTAAATCATTTGCTTAGTCGTTTATTCATTCACTCACCATGTATTTGAGTGTATAGTATTTATGGCTGCAGTAGCTGCTCTAACTTGCCCAGTCACACAGCTAGAAATTAAAAGAGCTGGGATTCCAACTCTGATCTATTAACTGATAAAAACAAAACTGTCTCAGTCTTCTGTTCTATTGCACCATCTGATCTGAATATGATGCATATTTACATCATTTTCAAGGGAGAGACTGCAGTGTCTTCTTTAAAGCTATTTTAAAATTTAGTTTTTAGATTTGTATTCTCCTCTTTACTATGCCATGTCTATTTGATATAATGTCTTTTTGATAATGATAAATTCCAAGGATATAATATAGTTATTCAAACACGAAGTGTCGTTTTCTCCCTAGTTAAGATCAATGTAGTTTTCCAAAATGGGTTGTTATTTGTTTATAGCACCTGTTATACCTGTGGGCCTTGTTTAGTTAAAGCCTTAAACAAGAACCAAAACAACTCTTGTTTCCCTTAGTAAAAAATGAACCTCAGTTATTACTTTTTGAACTGGAAGTGAACTGGAGGAAAAAGAAAACCTGGTAGGTTTTGATTTGTTTTGGGTGGGTTTGGGTTTGTTTTTTTTTTTTGGGGGGGGTTTGATTTGGGGGGTTTTTGTTTGTTTGTTTGTTTGTTTTGGTTTTGGTTTTTTCACATAATCTGGTTTGAACCAAACCCAACCAGTAACTTCAGTCACAGCTAAACTCAAATGGGAATTAAATTTGAAACCAATTGCTAGGGCTCTTCATCACTAATACCGGTTTTAAAGTTCTCTGAGAAAGAGAAAAGTGAAGAACATAGCTTTTTAAAAACTTTCTGGATACTGAGCCACTTTGTAACTCTTCTAATGACTAGAACCAAGGTAGGAGAAAAGTTAGAAGACGGAGAAAGGAAAGTAGTTGAATCAGACCCAATTGGCAGAGTTACTTAGGGTCACCTCTTCTTCCCTCACAAGTCTCCAGTAAGCATTTCTATTCTGGCCCTTATCAGCAAAATCTTGTGGAAGTCCACTGGGACTGCAAATTTTAAATGGAGGAAGGTGGAGGATGACACAAGGTCTATACATAGCACAGGTAA